AGCTGAAATGGACTGGTATTGGACATTTAGAATCTGATAATCATAGGGTCTACTATGCTGAGAATGACAAATTCAAAAGGAATGTGGTAGCATTCATCATCAAAAAGAACATATCAAGATCTATCTTGAAGTACACACTGTCTGTGATAGGATAATATCCATATGCCTACAAGGAACTCCAGTTAATAACACTATTATTCAAATTTATGTAGCAACCACTAAAGCCAGTGATGATATAATTTGAAGAATTTTGCCAACTTCATCAGTCTGAAATTGATGAACCATGCAATCAAGATGCACCGATAATACTGTTGGAAACAAAGAGGAAGTATCAGTAGTTGGAAAATATGGCCTTGTTGATAAAAATAATGCTGAAGATTGCATGAAATAATTCTGCAAGACCAATGACTTAACTCATTGTAAATACCTTTCTTAAACATGAAAGGTAATTATACACATGGACTTCACCAGATGGAATGCCCAGAAATCAAACTGACTATATCTGTGGGAAGAGATCGTGGAAAAGCACCATGTCAACAGTCAAAACAATGACAGGGGAAGACTGTTGAACAGGCCATCAATTGCTCATTTGCAAATTCAGGCTGAAGCTGAAGAAAATTAAAACAAGTCCATGAGAGTCAAAATATGACTTTGAACATATCCCACCTAAATTTAGAGACCATTTCAAGAACAGATTTGATGCACCAGACACTAATGGCCAAATACTAGAAGAGTTGTGGGATGACATCAAGAACATCATACAGGAAGAAAGATAAAGGTCATTTGAAAAACAAAAAAGAGAAGAACAAAATGGGTATCAGAAGAGACTTTGAAACTTGTTCTCCAGTTCAGAGATGCTAAAGCAAGTGGAAGAAATGAGGAAGTCAAAGAGCTGAACAAACAACTTCAAAGGGCAGCTAGAGAAAACCAACTCAAGTATTATAATTACATGTATGAAGACCTAGACTTAGAACACCAAAAGGAAGGAACATGTTCAGCATTTCTTAAGCTGAAAGAACTAAAGAAAATATGCAAGCCTCAAGTTGAAATACTGAAGGATTCCATGTGTAAAATGTTGAATGATGCAGAAAGGATCAAGAGAATACACAGTCACTGTACCAAAAAGAAATGGTTGATGTTCAGCCATTTCTAAAGGTAGCATATGATCAAAAACCAATGGTACTGAAGGAAGAAGTCAAAGCTGCGCTGAAGTACTGACAAAAAAACAAGGTACAGAAATTGACGGAATACAAATTGAAATCTTTTAATGAACTAATGCAGCACTAGAGGTGATCACTCATTTATGCCAAGAAAATTGAAAGACAGTTAACTAGATAACTGATTGAAAGAGATCCATTAAACCATTCCTAAGTGAGGTGACCCAATGTAACATGAAAATCATCAAACAGTATCATTAACGCAAGCAAAATTTTGCTGAAGATAATTAAAAGACAGCTGCAATTGACAGGGAACTGCCAGAATTCAGATTCACAAGAGGGTATCAAAGAGGTATTGTTGCTGACATCAGATAGATCTTGGCTGAAAACAATACCAGAAAGATGTTTACTCATGCTTTATTGACTATACAAAGACTTTAGACTGTGTGGCTCATGACAAGCTATGGATAATAATGCAAAGGATGGGTATTCCAGAATACTTCATTGTACTCATGAGGAACCTGTTTATAGGCTAAGAGGCAGTCATCCAAACAGAACAAGGGGATACTGAGTGGTTTAAAATCAGGAAAGCTTTGCTTGCATGACCAAGAGTTGAGAGAACAGTCTTGCACTGAAAGGAAGGACTTCTAGAAGAATAAGCAAGCTGTTTGCCGGGAAGCCATCAGGCAAGCAATCAACTTCCTTCAGGACAAACTCCCCTCTAAGACTGAAACTCAAAAGGAACACATGAGCAGGCATGTAAGCTTGCTGGTGACTACACTGGTCTACTGGTGAAAGAGGGGGAAAGGCAGCAATGAAGAAATGGGCTGAGTTCAACCACAATCCATTGACTCCCATTGACCTGAGATGAGAGAGAGAAGAGGAAGGGCTGGTTGGTCCAAAGTGTGGTGAGACCTGGGGACAACTAAGCCCATGGACAAGGTCATAGCCACAGAGGGCTAGATCTGAGAGTGAAGCATCTAGCTGATATGAAAGGGCAGATACACAAGAACACCCAAACTTGCAGATAGTACTTGCAGATGGCTTGATAATCAGAACTTGACTAGAGGAAGATTAAAAAAAAAAATTTTTTTATAAAGGAAATAAGGATAAATTGGCTACAATTTGATGAACCTGACCTATACTCATGGAGGTAGTAATTCTAAATACCGAGAGAAAAGGAAGGAATCTTCACATCAAGTACCAATGCTATCCCCTCTGTAGACAGGGACGGGCAAATTAGACATTGGCTACCTAAAATAAGGGGATGATAAAGGCATGAAGTGACTGGCTTACAAGGTTTCAAGAGGGAGTTTAGAGTGTGTGGAGGAAGAAAGAGTCCCCACTGAATAGTTGTCATCTTGTCTAGATGGGTCTGGTTAAGAGAGATGGGGATAAGATTCTTAAGACTCAATAGTGAGTAATTGTTATCATGACTAATTGCAACTGTCACAATTGTGAAAGTAGAAGTTTGTAACAAAAATGGGAGAGCAGTTAATCTTACAGTCCAGAAACAAAGGACCCTAGGGCCATCAAGGGAAAGCACAAGCAGAATGAGGAACATTATCCAGAGAAGCAGAGACACCTGAGATGGAGGCAGAGATGGGGTCATGGAGAGGGGGAGCAGCTGAGGACTCTAGATTCATGGGAAGCAAGGGACTAAGTGATAGTGGCCAGGAGGCAGACTTGCAGAATATGCCCTTTGGTGGTGTAAATTATTATATATGCCTGAGTGTTTTTTTAAAAAAAGAGCTAAAGTGAATAGAGAGAAATACTGTTAACTGTTGGTACATGAAGGAGATTGTAATCATTGTGATGAAGTAAGTTGCATAATTTGTTGAATGTAAAACTGATGATTTGCCCTATAAACTTTCACTTAATCCACAATAAAAACTTAAAGAAAAATATCAAAAACTAGTTAAACTATCTAACTCCTAAGTTTCAGAGCTAAAATGAGTTGATTATTAACAAGCATCCAAAGATCTCATAACTGTGTCCTGGCAAGCTAGGCTTTTTCAGATTTCACTCAGTTCCAGGAGTTAAACCTTACCTATCTGGGTTAGCCTGCTTATATTGTACAGAAAGAAGTTGTGCGTTTGTCCTGAGGCCTTTTGTAGTCCCCCTTTCCACCTCTTTGGACCTAGTGTACCCTAATATCACCTTAAAATTGGAACCCCAGATAAAACACAAAACAAAACAAAATCAAAACCCACTGTCATCAAGTTGAATCCTACTCATGGCAACCCATAAACTATAGTTTCCAAGACTGTAAACCTTTACAGATGCAGTATCTCATCTTTCTCCTGTGGAGCAGCAGGTGGGTTTGTACCGCCGATCTTGCAGTTAGCAGTCCAGTAGGAATTCCAGCTAGAATACCTGAAATACATAACTTTTTATCAAGTGTTAATTTTATAACAGAATGTTTTGATTTCTTCTCAAGAATCCATTCCCCAAAACCACTTCCTAGTAAGCTCCATCTGGAAGGAAGTTATAAATAGATGTTAAATGCTCCTCTCTTTGGTCCATTCCCAATATATCCTCAACAGGCAATATGAAATGGAAAGATGGGTATGGTAAGAATTTTGGATTTCTGTAGGTATTTATTCGGACCCAAATATTCCTAAAATAAAACAAGAAAGATTAAATGCAGAGACAGAACCACATCTTGTTGTTGTTAAGTACTATCAAGTCAGTTCCCACTCATAGTAATCCTGTACAGGGTTTGAGGAATGGCTGGTGGGTTTGAACCACTGACCATGTGGTTAGCAGTCCAGTGCTTATCCTACAACGCCCTCTAGAGGTTCTAAAAGAGAAAAAATGAGATTCTATGGAGAGGAAAGAAATGGAAACTACATACTGTACAAAATTATTTTTTGCTTGTTTTAATTTAGTAAAGAGAAGAAATGGGCAAATACCCAAATTCTACTCCATTTCACAAATCAACCCATGATATCCTCCTTGGATTCTACCTGCGTCTACTTCAACCCAACATACAAATATATTCACAAATACAAACCCATTTGAGGAACTGATTTCCTGGAAAGACTACATAGCCCAAATCAGAGGTAATCCATCTATTTCAGGACTGTCTATTGAAGGTTAAGAGATGAACATTTATTTCTCCCAGATCCTTTACCTACTAAACACCTCTATTTCATTCTGTTCCAAGAAAATCAGTATTGATCTCTCTTGCTCCAAAACAACACCAGAAATCCCCATTAAACCTCAAATATATATATATATATATATTGTTGTTGTTATGTGCCTTGGAGTCGGTTCCAACTCACAGCAACCCTGTAGAGGGTTTCCGAGGCTGTAAATCTTTACGGGAGCAGAAAGCCTCATCTTTCTCCCGTGGAAATGCTCACCTTGAGGTTCACAACCCGATTCGCTACCAGAGCTCCATATATATACACATATGGAGTCCTGATATGGCGCTGTGGGTTAATGCGCCAGACTGCAAAGCCGTTTGAACTGCAAGGTCAGCAGTTCAAGCTCACCAGCTACTCCTTGGAAATCCTATACAGGGTCACTATACAGGGTCGGATTCGACTCGACAGCACTTGACAACAACAACATACACACACACACACACACAGTCGTTTGAACTGCAAGTTCGGAGATTCAAGCTCACCAGCTGCTCCTAGGAAACTCTATACAGGGTCGATATGGGTCGGAATCGACTCTATGGCAATTAACAACAACAACATATATATATATATATATATATATACACACACATACACATATACACATACCTATATAAACCAATGGCAATTTTTTTTTGTATAGCAATTTCCAGGTCTAGAAAAAAGATCATCTGAAGACCTAAATGTCAATATCTACGAGTGTATGAAAAATATCATAACAAAGTTTAAAAATAACTCTTTAATTGTATGCACATAAGGAGAATAAAGAGAAGCACCAGGCTAACAGGGTAAGGGAGCAAGACATTCTCCCTCTGTCCCAATGTCTGCTTGGCACAGTTCTTGAGATCACACACACAAGTGGGGGGGTGGAATGGGAAGTAGAATAAGGAAAAAGACTGAAGGGACAAAGGCAAGTAGGGAGAGGCAAGGGCTTGCAGTAGTCTCAGTCGGTGGACTCCAAAACAGATTCACTCAGTGCGAGGTCCCAGTAGTGTTCAGCCCCATGTTTTTTGAAATGCTCCCGAGCCATGTTCTCTGTAGGACACTGTTTGAACTTCATATCCCCAAAGCTCCGGTCTTTAGCTGTACCCTGAGGAATACACAAAATCTGTAAAACAAAAACACTGGAATTTCTAATTTAAATCAGATAAAAAATTCTCTTATTAAGACTTAGTAACAACTATACAGTAATGTGCCTAACTCAATGTAATTTTATGATAAAAGCAATTCTAACCTCTATACCTGTGGGATTTATTTTCCTGAGCTTTCTTCATATGCATCAGGGTTTCAATTTTTTGGCTGAAGGAAAGGGGAGTTGTTTTGTGCTCTGGTGTTTGAGTGGAGGAGCAAGCCAGGGCAGGATTATAGAGGGAGGAGATGGGATGACCTTGTCTTCTATCAGACCCCAAGGACTAGTTTTGGGGCTTTAGGAGAAACGAATTAGAGAGCTGGAAGCTGAAAGAACTCTTTTTCTCAAGACCTCATGAGAATCTATATCTAAGCAAAGACACCAGCAGCAATGACAGTCATAAAATGCTACCTCAAGAGGTTTCCAGGAAGCAGACCCCAATAAGGAAGCTGGAATAGAACTTCACTATTCCTGAGAGCACTCAGAGACAACAGAAGAGAAGAGGGACCTCATATATTAAATTGTTGTTGTTGTTGTTGTTAGGTGCCAACTCATAGTGACCTTATGCACAGCAGAACAAAACACTGCCCAATCCTGGGTCAACCTCAATATTGTTGCCACATTTGAGCCCACTGATACTGCCACTTTGCCAATCCATCTCACTGGGGGTCTTCGTCTTTTTCTCTGACCCTCCACCTTACCAAACATGATATCTTTCTCCAATGAATGGTCTTTCCTGACAACATGTCCAAAGTATGAGAGATGAAGTTTGGCCATCCTGGCCTCCAAGGAGTATTCTGGCTACACTTCTTCCAAAACGGATCTATTGGTTCTTTTGGCAGCCCATGGCACTTTCAATATTCTCCTCCAACACCATAACTCAAAAGCATC